TCCGCTCAGCTCCGCTCCGCCCCGCAGCGCCGAGGGGCCCCGCGTGTCCCCGGGCACCCCACGGGCCGTCCTGCTGCGTGTTCTTGCGCTTTTAGATTGTTAGTACAGACTGTTGCACATTAAGCCTTCCTAGCGCAAGCAGTTACCAGATTAGTGCTTCCACAGACATGTTTTTGTTTTGTTTTTTTTTCCTACATGCATTTTTTAAAGATGAGTGACATGACCCACTCAGAGCACTAAAATAAGAAAGACGAAAAATAAAAAGGACTGGTATTTTCCAGTGACGCTTCTTTTGCCAAGACGCTCCTCTAAAAGCGATTGCTCAGCGAGCGTTACACAAGATGGCCGGGGCGTGGGAGGAATGAACTCTTCTCGTATCCGGGACTTTTAGGAACAGCCTCAGCACCTCCTTTTCAGCACTTACTTAACCTCCTTATGTGTATGTGCTATATCGGGCTTGTTCACTTAGAGCCAAACTAATTTTTATATGCGCGTTCATGGTTCATAAGTGCGTGTTGTAGTTGCGTGGGTGGCAGCTCCAGGCTAAGCATTTACATAGAGCTTTATATGGAGTATAAGTCTTATTAAAAAAAAAAAAAAGAAAGAAAAAGAAAAAAAAGAGGAAGTCAGGCCATAAGGACCACAGATATTTACATGACGTTTTGCCATGGGTTATCTTAAGTAGCAGGGCTGTGACAGCCCCTTTTCTCCAGCCTATAACCTACGTGCGAGCCACAGCAGCGCGGCGCTGTGCCCCGGTGCTGTTGTCCCTGTTTGCACACCAGCACTTCTCAGCAGAGGAGCTGGGTTTTTGTCCTCCATGCAGCTTCAATATAGCATTATGTCTAGTTATTGAAATACAAAAGCTGTGATGGAACTAAAGAAAAACGTTTTTTTTTTCCCCACATCAAATTTCTAACTGACAGCCTGAGCACCAAGTGCTTACAGAGGTCAAGGCTGTGCCTATGGATGAAAGCTAAATTGGAATTAGTTCAGAAGTAAATGTACAGGTATTAAAGCAGTTAAGAACGGCTTACTGGGGTTTGGCATAAACTGATTCCCCACAGAACTAAATCTTAACTGATGAAGACACATGCATGACAGTTACGCAAGCTGAACACCAGGACAGGTTTTGAGGCAGGGAGTGAGGTGCGAGCTTCGCTCTGCAGACGGATGGGTAAATTAACAAGTGACCGCAGAGGGGCTCACATTGAGCTGTGACCAGGAATCGCCACACTCTCCAGGTGCTAGCAGAGCTACTCTTGGGAGTTACTCTCCTAACATGTGCCAGTCAAAGGGGGCCACAAACAGGAGATTTTTGTCAACCAGAGTCATTTTGGCCAAAACAGATTAGAAGCCATTTTGAGAACCAGCTACGCCAAAGGATGAGGAGAACACAAAGACCTCCACAAAGGATCATTTCTTCATTTGGGATTTGGAAAAAAACATATTTCTGTAACTTCAGTGCCGTTATTTTTTTACGCAGAAAAGCCCTTTGAGTATCCCACCCTCCAGGCTGACAGCACGGAGGAATGTTGCAGCGGGTGTATGAGGAAGCCCGGACCACTGCAACCAACCCAGCAGTTATTCCAGGCCTGGTCGTGTTTGAAGTCAGTTGCAATGTTCCTAACCTTCAGGTTTGGCTCTCTTCTATGAATCCTTCTATTTATCTACCTGTCAGTCATACACCTCTGACACTACATTCATAAACAGAAAACTGGAGTAGCTATGGCAACATATGGAATATTTTTCTGACAAGGAAGCCATTGTATGGAAACCTCACTAGCTGCCATTTTCAGACAGTTAGGCAGTGGGGCATTTGCTTAATATACTTCATTTCTGGAATTTTTTCCACAGGAATGATAACCTCTGGGGCCAGGCTCCTTGGGAGGGAGCAAATCCCTAAATCCCTCTTCCTGTAAAAGCTATTATAGGCAGTAAATATTATTCTCAGCAAAATAAAAAGATATTATTCAGTAGCTCTGGCAGCATATCAGAAAAGAAAAAAAAAACCCACACCATTAAGTTGCATCCTAACACTATTAAAGGATAGTTTTCTGTAACATGTTTTTAATTAGATGAAACACATTAGAACTTTTTTTCCCCCTATATTTGAAACAATTTGTAAACTCTTACAGTGAGTTTCTTTCATTGTATTCATTCAGTATAATAAGGACAACACATGAAACAGGGATTTAGGCCTGAGCCCAGTGAAGTGTCTCAGTTGACTTCAGTGGAGTTTGATACAAGGTTAAAAATTGCAGCAATATTTGTGAAAATACTTACAGTTTTGTTAGAGCTCAGTACAGTTGTGAAGACTGAAGACCTTAAAACAGAAGAAGAGATTCT